TACTATAAAACACTACTTCAAAAGGCTGTGGCTGGTTTCCATAGCAACCATTTTGAGTAAAACTCTAGAAATTTAATTTCTCTTCTTGAGTGCAATAGCCCACAATTGATCTTTCTTCACCATATTTAAACAAACTTTTTGGTCCATATTGAGGGTACCATACCACCTTAAGTCTGATATGTTTCACCTCATACCCCCTGCCTGATTTCAAGAGAAATACAGACTGCCAGCAGCCAGTTGACATTTGCCGTCCCTGATGATGTTTGCCTGATTAAAAATACGCACACTTGCTGTCGATTACACACTTCACTCTGTCCCTTTGGTGTCCGTATTGGAGAGGTTCCACTGTATTGGTTTGAGAAGTTTCATGAATTCTATCAGGAATTTGTTAAAATTGAAACATTCAAGCTGATAACATAAGGCAATCACTTGAAAAGCAATTGCCTAGTAAACTATAACTAACACAGGGCTGTGCTCTAGAAGCGCCCGTGTACCACAGGCGACTAATTTTTGCCTTTGGGTGACTGGAAAAACTTACTATTTTCATATAAGCTTTAGTCAAGTCCAGGGCAGCCAGGATTTCAGGGTTAGGAACCTTTAGGCTCCTCAAAATTTTTCTTAGACCACAAGCTTGTAAGAGGTACTTTTTATGGCATAATTCCTACCTACTGACACGTGCCACATGAGGGTCTTCGACATCCACAACTCTCAAAACCTTGACACTGAAGATGCAGTGACTGAAGAGTAAGCAAAATATTTTGATGTCTGTGTCATCAGAATTAATTTCTTTGTCATTTTTTTTTACTTATGGACGGCTGCAAACTGCCGCTTATAAGACCCCTTGGTTATGGACCCATCTACCTGTAAACCAAAAAATACTTCAGGCTTTAAGCCCCTCCTCCCCCGCTTCCGGATATAAGATTAAAATACAGCAAATAAAAAACTATTTTGATCAGCACAGCTATAGCTCATTTTTTTTTTTTTTAATTCAGGTTATAAGCCCTCTCGGATATAGGCCCCTCTGTTTATAAGCCCAACTAAAAGCCCTTACGAAATTGTATAAGCCCAGGACTTATAAGTGGCAATTCACAGTATTGACCAGATCGATAAATTAAAATATTATTATTTTCACTGTGCTTACCTGCGACTAGAGCACTGGTTCAACTTTGTTGATGCTATTCTTTGATTCTTTTGACCAATCTTAAGAATCTGAGAGAGAGAAAAAATGACATTCAAATTAAAAACTTGAAGTATTAAAAGAATTAATATTAATCAACCAATGTCAATGAACAAAAAGACAAATGAAATGGGCAGGAAGGAAAAAAATATTTTAGAAAACACTGGTCAGGACAGAGTAGCCTATAAACTGTCAACAGGCTCCAGCTTGAAGGCCATGGCTGGAAGGGATCAGAAGGAACTGGCTGAGTAGGAAATGGGGTGGGGGTTGCAGCACCCCCTCCTCTCTCTCCTCTCCTCGTTTTTCCCGTTTTCTCTTTGCTCCATCCTTGACTAGAGCCTGTTCACAGGCTAATTGGACAGAGATAGAAACTGACCATGTCTGAGAAAATAAATAAATAAAAAACAAGCCTTACCTTGTATGCCTCATCAGCATTAGAAACATAAATTTCTCTTAACCCTGGAAGTAAAACACATTGATTTATTAAACACCACTAAATCAACTAGCCTGCGAACAGGCTCCTGGTTGGGTGTATTGTGGGCTAGCTGAGTGAGCCTGTTCGCAGGCTTTGAATTAACAGTATATTAAACCATTAGTATAACTAGTCTTAGTCTTTTGGAGGATTCATTTCTTCAACAGCGAATGTAACCATAAAACTCACAATAAAAATAAACTTATTTTTCTTTTAGCAGGCTTGATTGTCAACCATTTTGGGAGTACGATTGTTTATCCTCCTCCCACAAGGAATGCAGGCTCACAAAATGGCTGGAAATCAAGCCTATTCTTTTAGCTGCAATACAACAATCCTCATCAGCCAATTTTTATATTTTGTTTACGTTTTTGTTTACAATTTTGTTTACATTTAGAATTTGTCTACATTTCTGCAAAACAAACTGGAATTTTTCTTTTAATTAGCTTTTATAAAATTCTGTAGAATTGCTGTGGTCTCACTTTCCACTCAAATGTATGTAGAGGAAAAACCGCATGTAAGAACCTACATAAGTCTGGCAAAATACAGTAGGTTCTTGTATTTTGGGGGAATTATTGGCAATTTAGGCTAAGTAGTCTCTTTTTAGGTTCTTAATTTCTATGAAGGAGATATAGTTGTCGATAACAAGAAAAATGAATAAACTGGGTTTGGTCCTTAAAATACCGTATTTAGTTATACACGTATTCACAACTATATTAAGATGCACTTAACACAACTGATTACAGAATGGACTATATTTAGGGTTGCCTCACTGAGTCTATAACAAGAGTTCATATTCAAACTGTAACCCACATATAAGAACCTGCTTGCTCTTGCTTGGCTAAACAGGTTCTTATATTTTGGGGTTTTAAGATGGCAAATTTCTGCCAGCAGGTTCTTAAACCACTAGGTTCTTACACAGCAGTTTTAACTGTAAAAAAAGCTTGGTTATATTTTGGCAAGAAATGAGTGACCACACCTTTAATGTAAGGGTTTCCATTCGTATCATCACCAAGTCTGAGTGTTGTCCTCTTTTTGCCCTTCCCTAGTGGACATGGTTCCAATAAGTCGTAGATGGTTTCATTGTAGATTTCAGCAAAAGACACCCAGACAGAAAATTTTACAGGTCCTTGGGCATCAACATTGATTGTGGTGTCATCTACTACTCTTGAGATGTTTTCGTCTACATCAATAGAGGGTTCTGCAATAATAGAATAAATTCACTCATGCAGGCTTTACCTTGCCTACGTTGTCTATGAGATGCTTTTCTGCTAAGTTTGAAGGCTACCCATAAGAAAATACTGAAGGGGGAAGTTGCCGCTTTTAATGTGGAAACCCTTTGTCTGTTGCAGACACTACTCGAAAGCAGAAATCTTCCTATATTTAAAGCAAAAGTGAACAAAAGTTTTTTGTTAGCAGTCAGTTCTACATGTAGTTACCTTCATGTTCTCTTCCATCCTGACTTCTGAATGTGTTATGTAAAGCTGATTCGTCAGTGCAGCTGGCTTTTGACAATTCAGCTGTGGAATCTTGGTCCAGCTTTAGAAGAGCATTGAGATCAAAAGTCTAAAAATCACAAAGATTGCTATGAACAATTCAACCAGGTTTGCACAATAATAATAATAATAATAATAATAATAATAATAATAATAATAATAAAACATTTACCCAGGATAACCCTTCAGTACAAAGTACTGTACTGTTATCAANAATAATAATAATAATAATAATAATAATAATAATAATAATAATAATAAAACATTTACCCAGGATAACCCTTCAGTACAAAGTACTGTACTGTTATCAACGGGGTCCTGCTGACTAAGAATTAAAAACTAATAAATAAGAATTATTTAGATATATAAAATAAGATACATATTAAGGTAAAGATACACTAAGGTAAAAACAAGTTAAATATAGTGCTACATCAACATGTATGAACAAGTAAATCAGGTTTACAAAAGTTAAATAAAGTGCTATGTGCCAGTAAATCTGCAGGTTTACACAAGTTAATTATGTTTAAAAGTTAAAACTGGGAGGCTCAAAGTAAATGTGTCCCTTGAGAGGTCCAGCCATGCTGGATTGCTCAAGAATCAGACAGGCTCAACAAGAAACAGTCCTTGGACCCCTAGGGTAGGGGTTTGGTGTAAGGGGGTGGTGATACCAATCATCCATCCTGTAAGCCATTGTACAAAATTGAAAAGAATCTTGCCATTTTACTCCTCAGGCATACTAGACAAACTGGGAGATAACAACTGCAAACAGACCCATAAAAAGAAAATGGTAGAGTGTGGCAATTAACACACACCTCTTTATCAAGAGATGAAAGCAAAGTACTCTTGTAATTATTCTCCTTGTGTTCCTCATCATCTGTGAGTCTTGTAACATCTGTGCAGAACCTTGGCTTAAGATTCATCCTGTGGTAATGCTTCCCCTCGATGCTGTTAAACAAGACATCAAGACTTCTAGGCAGTACTCCACCATCCTTAGGGGTACCTTGTATTGTGTAGGTCTGAAATATGTAATCAAAATAAATTTGGGCAATCAATGATATCAGCCATGTGGTAAAAGTTTTCATTACAACTTTCCGTCTTGATAAAATTTGCAGAGTACCTACCTTGCACTCTTCAAAGATCTGTCAACACAATGGTACATGTAGACTTATTTGACTTGCCAAAATAAAAATCCTTTTTTTGTGTGTGTACATGTATTAAATTTCAGTGGTATATATGTTTGCCAATATAACCCTGAAAATATGACTGTTGTTTTGGAGGTATTTGAAAGAGTTCATTGTACTTCCAGAAACTCATTTTCATGGTACAATGTAATGATTTACAAACTTGACAACTTATAAACTAGAATCTACAGTCATGTAACTCCCGTCACAATTTCAAATGCGATTATTTTACAAAAACACCTCAACATAGGGTATCAAAATTTCTGAACTTGGAAATGTAAAGTACGGCCACTAGTTGTTTACTTGCTGGAGCTTCGAGCTTGTAAAATCTATTCACAACATTTGCCGGAATTTGATTTTCTCCGGAAGGAATTCTCTGATCTGTTATTCAAAGCAGAAACTCCGCGACTGTTTAGATAATTTTTAAAATATGCTTATTACAATTTTGAAACAAATATTACTTTATTCTTGCGCGTCGTTTCATTCTGGTATCCGGTCACTTCGATCGCTCCAAGTCAGTTCTCTCCATTAACGCGCATATATAGATTATTCCTCGTTCACTGCCAAGCCAAACTCGGTTAGCTGAGGTGGCGAACTCGGCCTGTGTGGAGCAATCTAACTTTTGGTTGGAGTGAACTGACTTGGAGCGATCTAACCATGGAGCTAAATGACTGTAATTCTTTATTTCTATTCTCCTATGCATGACTAACTTCTGCAACTTCCTTCTGTCTCAAACTTACCTTTCCCGAGTTCGTTACTCCGTATGTAAAAACCAAGCAATTTTGTCCGTGAATGAAATCAGTCACCAAGGGTAGTGTTGTTTCATCAAAGAACGATTTTTGCGTTGTTTCCTCATCGAACACATTAGTGAACGAAAATCGATGCGAAATCTCGCCACCAGCGCGAGTACTGTTTTTGAATGCAAACGATTCCTT